GACTGAGCAGTCTAAGGGACCTCAGACAGTGGAACCAGGATGTATCCCGGTGCACAAAAGGACCTTGCAGACACATCCCCCATGGAGGGATACTCACTTAACCTAGAGACAGGAGAGAAGTCCTAGTCCCTACTTCAAATGACTTGACAGATCTACATGACCCCACCTGGATGGCATTGCCCTACATGTGGAATTGGGGTGGGGGGATGGGAGTGGAGGGTGGTCAGAGTGCATGTGAGGGGGCAGAGAGGGTAAGAGAGAGGGAGGGAGGGAGGGAAAGGGAACTGGGATCGACATGTAAAATAATAAATTAAATTTAAAAAATTAAATTTAAAAAAACTTGTTTTAAGTTTAGCTTTAAACTGTGGTAGTGGTCTCATTCTCAAACAATGGAATTAGCAGCCACCCCTGGGCAAGTGGTCCTGGGTGGTATAAGAAAGCAAGATGAGCAAGCCATGGTGTCTGCATTAGATACTGCCTCCAGGTTCCTGCCTCGATTTCCTATTCTGCCTTCCCAGGATGATGGACTTTATTCTGTGAGGTTAAATAAACCTTTTGCTCCTCAAGTTGCTTTTGGTCATCTTGTTTATCACAGGAAACCTAACCAGGACAATGTGTGCATTAAAGTTTCACAAAAATTTAAAACTTTAAATTTAAACAAAGGTTGAAAAGTCTAAATATAGAAGACTGCATATTCAGTATTGTTTTAGATTTATGTCCAAGACCAGTTACTAAAGTTCTGTCACCTATCTGTGGTGATGCCAAGCAGACAGCCCAGTAGAAGCAAATGAGGCCATGGGGAAACATCCTAGGAGAGACACTTGTTTGCCAGGTTCTCTTCCCTCTCTTTGCTTCCTGAGTACACAAGGTGAGCTGCACTGCACTTCTCTGTGCTTTGCCAAGAGGCTTTACCTCACCAAAGGATCAAAGTAAAACCCTGGCAACCACAAGCCAAAATAAATATTTCTCTACTGTAGTATATTTCCTTTGGGCATTTTGTCAGGCTAATGGAAAACCTACAGAATACTTTATGTCAACTGATTCTCAGCAAAGGTTGTTACAACATTCAGAAAGCAAGTTCATTTCATTCTGATTCAGTACAATGTGGTGGTGATCAGATACAGGTGCTAGGACAGAGGTGGCAATTCACACATTTCACAGAGGCACCAGCCTGCCATCAATGCTAACTCTTAGGAAGCAGGATAAAGACATTGGAACATGATGGAACAAATTGCTCTCATCTAACTAGACTCCTCTACTAAAGAGTGCCCTATGATTTCACCCCCCCCATTTCTGTGGGACATTGGCTGTCCTGATCTGTGAGCACCCCAAAACCAGTCCTGCAGCACCCGTGCGTGCTATATGCATCAAGGCAGAGTCCAACTTTTTCTTCATTATACCTAGGTTGACTTTAGAGACTGGGATTTGGGCTCCAGTGGTCTCTGATGTCAGTGTGGCTATGGGCTTCTGACCTCCCAGATTCCAGCGGTCCATGAAGGACCCAGAGTATACTACCAAGGTCACAGCGGTTACTTCAGATCTGTTACTCTAACCACAGACTGCAGATAGATAATACACAGATTGCAGCATGTCCATCATGTGTTATCCTACCCCAAACAGATTCACAGAATTCAAGGTAGAATCACAGTTTAGACTCCGTATGGTCACCTTCATGCTTAGTGTGCAGCCAGGAAGTGGCCATCTCAGCATCTCCATCAACACCACGTCCCACCAGTCTCCATAGCAGAGCTTTGTGCTTTGTGAACTTTTCCAAGAGTCCCAGAAAACAAAATATCTAAACAGGTTTAGAAGAGGAGATCAAAACTGAAAGACAGTCCAGATCCAACAGATGCATGAAACAAGACCAACAAAGAACATGACACAACCACTACCCACATCCCGTCCCTTACTCACTAACTCCCCTATAGGTAATCCCAACTACAGAGATAGCAGGAATGTCAGAGAAAGAATTCTGAGCTTAACTTTTTGAAAAAAAAATTAATGCTCATATAGGCCAGTGCTTCTCAACCTTGATGCTGTGACCCTTTACTACAGTTTCTCATGTCGTGGTGACCTCAACTATAAAATTAGTTTTGTTGTTACTTCATAACTGTAATTGTGCTACTGTTATGAAGTGCTATGTAAATATCTGTGTTTTCTGATCCTCTTTTTTGTTTTATTTTTGGGCCAGGCCAACAGATTGAGAACTATATAGGCCATTTCATTGAACAGATGCATGAATTTAAGAAATTTATCCAAGATAGTCTTCAAAGTGAGTGTAGTAGAAAACTTCCAAAACTTAGAGAAAAAATAGATATCAAAACACAAAAGAACTTTAAATAGACATGACCACAGAAGTCAGTATAATAGTAAAAAAATATCAAAAAATATCAAAGTAAATAAAAGAAGGGAATTATTGCTGGGCCCTAATGGCTCCCTCTGAGAAGTGAGAAGGCCTGATATCAATGGCACTTGACACTGGGAGTCAAGTGAAAGGAAAAACAGCAGACTCATTTATTTAGCAATGGGAGAACCTCATATACCCTCCCATCACCCAGGCATTCCATCCGCTGATGTGGTGTGGTCACCCCTCATTGGCTAGGCACAATCAGGACCTCCAACAGTGCCAGACTCCAGATCCACCTCTCAGCCTGCTAGGCCTTAGCTTCCCACGGGGGGGGGGGGGGGGAGAACTTTCTGAATGGAACACAAATAGCACAAATAGTACAGGAACCAGCCCCAAGTATCGACAAATGGGACTACATGAAATAAACCTCTTCTGCACAGCAAAGGAAACTATCAGCAGAGCACACGCCCACACAATGGAGAAATCCTTTACCAGCTGTACTTCAGATAGGGAGCTGATGTCCAGAACTGTAGAAATTAAACACCAAGGAAATAAAAAACCAAACAAGAAATGGATCAAATAGGCAGTTTTCAAAAGGGAAACACAAATAGTTATTTTTTTAAAGTTTTTTAAAAGTGTTTTTTAAAGTGTTCAATTATCTCTAGCCATGAGGGGAATTCAAACTAAAACTACTTTGAGAAACCACTTCATCCCAGTCTGAATCTACCAACAAATGTTAGAGAGGATGTGGAGAGGAACCCTTGCTCACTGGTGGCAGAGGTGCAAATTAGAACAGCTGCAGTTAGTTACATATTCCCCAGTTCCAAAGCTCAGACAAGGTGCTAAGTGACTGAATGATGTTGGGGTTTTGTTTTTCTTATTTTTAATTGTGTCCATGCATGTGGGTTTGTGTACATGAGGGTAGTGCCCAAAGAGGCCAGAGGTGGCATCAAATTACTGCAGTTGAAGTTTGAGGCAGTAGAAAGCCACCCGATGTGTGTAAAATAGATTCTGACTGTGGATTCCTCTCCCCCACTCTTCCCAGACCCTCTCCACCTCCCAACATAACTCCATAACTTCTTTTTTCTCTTTAAAAAAAAAAAAAATCGGGAAACTTAAAAAAAGCAAACAAAAATGGGGGTGGGGGTGCTCCACAAAAAAAATCACAAGAAACACAGCTGGACACACACAGACACATAAACCATACCCCTAACAATGCAACATCAGAAACCATAATATATAAGCAAAATCCTGTAAGAGTAAAAAAATGCCTAAAGCAATATGAGACAAAAAAATAAATCTACAAAATCACCATTGAGCAACTTTTTGTGGTGGCATCTACTGCTGGGCATGGGACCCACGTGTGTGCTTTGTTTACCCAGTGAGACTCCACTTAAGAAAACAGATTATTTTTTTCTTGCAAGCACTTGTGTCTTGCAGCGTTTCTTGGCTAGAGACAGGAGCTCATGTCCATTTGCCCCTCTCAGCACTAGGACCCTGACGGGTCTGGAAGTGTGCGGATACTATGCGCACTTCCAGAGAATCTGAGTTTGTATGTTCAGCAGCCCCCCTGTCTTGAAGACACTGCCTCATTTAGGCTTTCTATTGCTGTGAAGAAACATCACAACCACACCAAATCTTATAAAGGAAATATTTAATTGGGGCCACCTTACAGTTCATAGGTTTAGTCCATCAGCATGCTGGAATATGGCAGCATGCAGGCAGACATGGTGCTGGAGAAGGAGCTGAGAGCTCTACATCTTGACCCTCAGGTGCACTAGTGAACTGAGACACTGGATGGGGTTTGAGCATATATGAGACCTCAGAGCCCACCTCCACAGTGACACACTTCCTCCAACAAGGCCATACATACTGCAACAAGGCCATGCTCTTGATAGTACCACTCCTTATAGGTCAAGCACTTAAACACATGAGTTTAGCGGTGTGGTAGGAGGAGTTCTAAGAGGAGGGATTGATGAAGGTAACACATTTAAGACTGAGTGTTACAAGGTCTCTTGCTTTCTATGCACTGGATGTGGGTCTGTTAATTCCCATCTACTACAAGAGGAAGCTTCTCTGATAATGGCTGAGCAAGACACCGATTTATGGGTATAGCAAAATGTCATTCAGAATCATATTACTGTCTTGTTCCTTTTGTAGAATGATAGTATTTGGTTTTCCCCTAGACCTCTGACCTATCTAGGCTCAGGTTCTTAGCCACCTGAACAGTGTCAGGCATAAGTTCCAGTTCATGGAGTGGGGCCTTGGTTACTCGAACAAGCTTTGTGCCACAGATGTACTGACAGTCAAAGAATATTTGGTATTTTGATAGCTATGCCTTACAAGTAGGAATTTCACTATATCACACATGCCCCAGGCAGTGTAATATTTGGACATCTGAACAGTTCATCACTGTGCACATTTGTGATAAGGTTGTCAGGAATAAAGCTCTTAGAACAACTGTGAATATTGATGAAATGATCAATAGAAGTGAGGTCTAAAAGTCAAGATAAATCCCCAATAACTCTGTGTAGAACCAGCTGACAAAACCAAATTAAGATTCAAACTGAAAGGTTTTTGCTGCCTACATACAGGTGACAAGAAAAATAAAAGGCAAGCAATTCATAAAGAATGGTTTTACAGAAAGAGTGTGATAAAGCATCAATTTATTGCAATTTTTCACATGGTTATTTTTTTTTCAAACAACAGATTTAAGAACACAACCCCTGATAGGCAAATAACCTGGAAAAACTTGTTAATATAAAAGAACAGGTAATACATGTGCTTGGTAGCACACCTCCCTGAGCCACTTCCAGCTGGTTAATCTGAAATGCTGATAATTTAGTGTTTTATTTTAGCATGAATCTGATGAACATGCTACTTCCCTACCTGTACTATGGTTTTAGTACTCACACAGCTTTTGTTTTTTAATTCATTTGAGTATGCTCTGGGACAACTTGCAGCTGGTTCTGTGCTCCTGTGCAGGTTCTAGGGATCAAACTTAAGTCATTGGACTTGGTGATAAATTCCTTTATACAACAAAGCCATTTCACCATCCTCCTGTTCTTTCAACATTTTTGTTTACACACGTATTTAAATGTGCACCTAAACTCACAGAAACCAGAAGGAGGTATTGAGTGCCCACCTCCATCATTCTCCATCTATTCCTCCAATAAAGGACCTCTTCCTGAACCTGGGGCTCATGCCTCAGCTAAGTCAGAAATAAGCAAGTTCAGATGATCCCCAGTCTCTACCATTGTCAGAGCTGGGGTGACAGGTATTTGCAGGGATGCCGACTTGTCAAGTAGGTACTAGGATCACTATAATTGTAAAGCAAGAGCTCTATCCAGGTGGTGGTGGTACACACCATTAGTCCCAGCAGAGGCAAGTGGATCTCTGTTGAGTTCAAGGGCCTTGGCACAGACAGAAAAATCCTGTCTTGTGAAACCAAAGAATAAAACAAAGCAAGAACTCTTAACCATTGAGCTCTCTAACATCATCTTTGTGGAGCCTTTGGTGGCAGATAAGTCACATGAGGAGCTCTGTCAATACAATGCCCCTGCTGTTTCTCATATGGTGTTCTCTATTGCTAAGGCTAGCCTTGAGCAACATTCTTCACAGTGGCTTCTCATTTGTGTGGGTCTTTGGTGTTGAATGAGGTCAGATTTGCACTGGAAAACTTTCTTATATTCTTTACATTCTGTAAGCATCTCAATTATGAATTTCCCTGATATAATACAGTAAGGTCTGGTTCTACACAGAACTCTTCCTTGAATTCCTCATATTCGTAGGGATCCTCAGCTGTCTGATTTCTCCAATGTCCCGTGAATTCTGACGCGTGGAGTGTTTTCCTGCGTTCTTCATTCACGAAGCTTCTTCCCGCATGTCTTTTCTGATGTGCTGTGAGTTGACACTTCCAGTGGAAAGATTTATTGCATTCTTTACATTCATAAAAATTCTCAGATGAATGAGTTATTCTATGTGCAGTGAGTTGTGACTTATGGGAAAAGGTTTTCCTGCATTCTGTACATTCATAAGGCTTCTCACCAGTATGAGTTTTCTGATGTATAGCGAGCTTTGACTTACGGGAAAAACCTTTCTTACATTCTTCACATTTATAAGGCTTTTCACCCAAATGAGTTTTTTTATGTCGAGTAAGGTCTGACTTGTAATGGAAAGCTTTATTGCACTCTGTACACTTGTGAGGCTTCTCACCTGTATGGGTTCTTTCGTGTGCATTGAGATGAGACTTCCGGAAGAAGGCTTTCCCACATCCTTTACATATGTAGGTTCTCTCTTGCCAGTGAGTTTTCTCGTGTGCAGTGAGGTCTGACTTCCAATGGTATGTTTTACTACATTCAGAACATTTAAAGCGCTTCTCTACATTATGAGTTCGTCTGCGATGCTTAATGAGGGTTGAGTTAGTACAGAAAGTTTTCCCACAGTCCTTGCATGCATAGAGTCTCCCACCTCTGTGCAATGTCTGACTCTGGCTTTGCTCTAACTTTTGGTGATATGTTTTTACATGTGCTCTACGATGACGGGATTTTGTCCCTTTGTAGACTTCCTGTTGAGTCTTTAGTTTTGCCTTGAAACAAAAGAATTTGGTAGATTCATTAGGGCTTCAGCACTTTTTCCTAGAATGAGCTGCCTAATGTTCCAAAGTATGATTTCTTAATGAACAATTTCTCATAATCTCTAAATACTTCTGTGTGCATGTTCCCTTTTACTGATCTACTTTCCTTGCAAACATTATCCACATATATGACAAATCAACACTTTGCTTCCACATAAGTCACACTGTAGACAAGGAAAGGATTTCAAGTATTTACAGAATTTACTACAAGTCTCTTTGATAGGAAATTCCTTTATGTATCAATAATATTGCCTTTGTTTCAAAGGCTACCCCTCTTTGAAAATACTAACACTATGAACTTTGCTGTTATGTAAACTTAAGATGCTGAGGAGTCTGGTAGCCTTTTTAGTTAGATGAAAATGATTTGGTTCTTCTGCAGCCTGAATCTAATCAGGCTCACTATAGAAAAGTAGTAATTCTTCCAGGGCTAAGTGGAAAGTTGTGTGCATACTAATGTTCATACTTGAAATATGGTTTGACCTAACATTAAATGTTTTACTTACTTCAATCATGTCTTCATCTGGTGTCTTTAGGTTAGTTATTTCAAGTTGCCCCAAATGTAGCTCAGGATTTTCCTTGCTGGTGTCAATCAGGGCACTCACTTTATAAACATCTACAATATTAAAAATGTCTCAGTTCAATATAATACATATTTTTATAGAATTCAAACATAAAAGTAAAGTCATGCCTTCATATGCATATTGTGCTAGTTGGTTTTGTCAACTTGACACAGCTAGAGTCATTCTGAAAGAGGGGACCTCAATTAAGAAAATGCCCAGACAAGACTTGCCTATGTTCAAGCCTATGGGTCATTTTCTGGACTGATGTGGAAAGGGGAGTGGTCAGTGCCATCACTGGGCTGGTGGTCCTAGGCCCTATAAGAAGGGAGACTGAGCAAGCCATAGGGAGCAAGCCAGTAAACAGCATCCTCCATGGTCTCTGCTTTCAGCTCCTGCTGGAGTGATGGGCTGTGCTGGGGAACTATAAGCTGAAAGAAATGTTTTCCTCCCTAAGTTGCTTTTGGTCATGGTATTTTAACATTGCAACAGAAAGCCCAACTAAGACATGTATAGTAAGTATACATATTTGTACATATTTTGTTCTATAATGAATATAACAAATTATGCTAACAGATACTAGGGTTCTAACTCAGGTCTCCTTTGCTTTGTTTTACTATCGAAATAATAGAATTAATTCATGCAATCAATTCTTTTAATATTAAAGGAGAAATCTCCCCTCACAGCTTTGTCTTTCAAATACATGAGCCCATGCTGTCTGGTCATTATAGTCTTTGCTAAGACACACATTATGCTAATATGTTTGACTTCTAAAAGTAGCTAAGCACATTCCTCTTTTGCCAGTTTCATGATTCTGTCTTTTGTACCTTTGGCAATTTAATTTTAAGGATCCTTAAAAAGGTCTTTTTGGATCATGTCTTTTTTTCCCCCCCTTTGGTATGGTCATGGTTTAAATTGCTCACACCTAGACATTGGTTAGTCTGCCTATATTCCTATGCCTCTAGTCCTTCATCTCTACTCTATGCCAGATTTACAGGTTGCATTTCTTTTTGTTTTCATTTTAATGTATTCATTCTCTGTGTGTGTGTGTGTGTGTTGCAAGTACATGCATGCCATGGGACATATGTGGAAGTCCAAGAACACCTTGAAGGAGTCTGCTCTCTTCTTGGGACCCAATGACAAGCTCAGGTGGGAGGCCTTGCGGAGTCTACTCACTGAGCCACCTCACTGGGCCAGGTTAGCTTTCTTAATCATAGCCAGAGGGTATGAAGTACTCTGGTAGTCATGATTGCTCTGTGTTTTCCCTCCATCTGATTGGAGTAATTCTCAACCTTATCTACAATCCCTGTTTTGCTTTTTTTTTTTTCTTTCTGCCACACTATATACTCTATGATGCTTTTCAGTAAATAGACTAGTTATGGTTGAGCATTTCCCTTCCAAGAGCTCAGGCTGTATTTTCTTCCCCAATAGCTCTCAATTTCCTACCAAAGATTCTGAATTTCTTGGAAAGATTTAAATTTATTCTTCATTTATCTATTTATTGGAAAACTGAAAAGGTCAGATCATTATTACATGTAGCAATGAATTTTGTGTATGGCATCTTTTCCAATTCCCTATCTTTGGAATGAATCATTAGAGGGTCAACACATGCTAGAAGATTTTCTTTGTATTTTGCCTGTTTTGCCATGACTGATGTTTTTGTACTGTGCAGCAATGGGGATCCGTTATCTTTCCATTTTATGTAAGGCATTTGTCATTGTTCTTCACCTGTAACCTTAACCTGCTATACCACTCAGGAGAAAGAAAACACAATATAGAAATGAAAAGTAGAGACAATTCATACAACACCAGTAACCATAGAAAGATTATGCAAAAATGTAGATCAGAGAAGGAAGCCTATTGAATGTTAAAAGGAGAATGAAAGCAGGAGATAATACAGTATAAGACCATTAAAATGTTTCTAGGCTACTGATTTCCAAATGTATCTATATTCTAAACATGATCACTATCGAGTCATTAATTTATATCCAACTACTAATTACACGCAAAAGTAGCCATCTCAAGTGAAAGGGAAATTAAATGAAAATACCCATAAACTGCAAACTCACTGTGTGCCTTTGCTAACATAAAAACTATTTTTCCTGGTAGACATTCTTCCTGGCTATTAGCTCATTACTCATTTCATACCTTCAATTCATTGTGTTCTATCTAACTGAAGCTCTTTCAGAAGAGATGTATCATGTGATCAGTATGGAGAACATGACAATTACAAAAATGTCTACTATCACTATAAATTAAAAAAAAATAAAGTCACAAAAGTCCAATAACAAAGCTATTGTATAAAACAAGTAAGACAACAGGACAAATAAGAAATTAGGTCAAGCATTTAACAGTGGAAGGAGCTAAGAAGATCTATACGGATATTTTGGCAAATCTCATATTTTCTGGCAAATTTTCAGCAACAAAATCAGAAGTAATACCACATCTTAAACTGGATGAGAAGAAAAAGAGGAGGAGGAAGAGGAAGGTTACAGCAATATGACCAGCTGCTTCAGGACTGCGTTTAGATGAAATGTGATTTAAAAAAAAAAAAAAAAAATCAACAGCTCAACATGACCAGTATCTGATGAGCTCCCTGCCTGCTGAACTCCTAGTATACATTTACTCACTTGAAGCTTCTGCTAGGCTCCATGGTCCACATCCATGTTCCAAATTGAAGATCAACTTAGGTTTGACTGTGCAGAGCTCTGTAAATTGGAAATAATAAGAAATGGTGCCAGAGTGTTGTGACAGTCTATGGATGAGAACCACAGTTCCACTTCTGAAACCATTGTTCATAAAGTGAATGAGAAACTTTGGTCTGAGAGGATCTATACCCTCATTTCTCATTCTTCACTACTAGAAGACCACCCGTTTGTGGCATCAAAACAGTAGTTTTGAGAAAGTTTATCAGGTTGGGAAGATGGTTCTGGGATAAGAGCAAATACTGCTCTTGGGAGACCCAACTTGAGTTCCCAGTATCCATACTTGACAGCTCACAACTGTACATCTCCAGCTCTGGGAGATCCCAATGCCCTCTGGTGTCCACGGGTACCCACACACATGTGGTGCTCACTCTCACAGACACATATACATAGCTACAAATAAATCTTTAATGTAAGTGATGATTTCTATACTTGTTAACCAAGGAAAAAGTATTTGCTCAGACTTAAGGGGTGAGGGGGGTGTTAACACTCACTCAGGAACACTAGGTTGCTATAATTCTCCAGCATCACGTCTCTGTAGAGGGTCTTCTGGGCAGCATCCAGCTCCTGCCACTCCTCCCAGGTGAAGTCCACAGCTATGTCCTCAAATGACACCAATCCCTGAAATGACATGCTTCTCTTCAGTTCAAGGAACACAAAATAGGGGCTTACTCCAATCTCTCTCTCTCTCTCTCTCTCTCTCTCTCTCTCTCTCTCTCTCTCTCTCTCTCTCTCTCTGATTCCAGACACGTAACGTCACCCCAAGGAAGGAATTTTAGGCACATAAAACTAGAATCCTACTGTTCAACTGTGTAGGATCTATACTAACCTACCTAGAGCACAGAACAAACTCCAGCTCTATGTACTAAATAAGGGGGGGAAATCCACTAGTTTCATCTCCCAGGATCAGGGGAGTAAAGGTCTCATTTCTCTCTAGAAGGGAATTTTGCTATCTGCTTTGCTGAGCTGTTATCTAACCTGCTCCAGAGAACTAATAAAGCGAGATGGACCTCTGGCCTGGATGAAAGCATGGAGCTTGTTGAGCCAGCTGCAGCTCACTGAAGGCTCCAGGCCCACCGGTTCCTATCAGAGGAGTCTGCCCAGAAAGGGGGTAGAAAGGTTTAAAGAGGCAGGTGTTATTGAATATTGCTATGAAGCCCAGTCAGGTCAAATTCCATCACGGATGAGAGGGGAGCCTGTAAATATCACTTCAGCCTTTGGCAACTGATGGCTGCTGGGGTAAGGAGAGCCCGCTTACCTCCACTGTGGCCCGATAGACTGCCCATGTTCTAGCGATGACCCTACAACCCCTGCACACACTAGCAGCACCAAGCAGAGTGAGGGCTTGTTTTTCTTTTTTAAGTTACATTAAGTTAGGAAAGGAAATTGGTGGAGGAAGTGCTGGGTGGATTTGACAAAACACATTATATTCATGTATGAAATTCTCAATCCATTTTATAAAAAGAAAATGCATAATTGTTATGAACTTTGTAATCAAATTGGCCTATATACAGACTTTTATGGTCTTTTTTCTCTTCTGAGAAATTTTTATTAAAAAGGATGATGCTGGGTGGTGGTGCCTCTCGACTTTAATCCCAGCACTCAGGAGGCAGAGGCAGGCAGATCTCTGAGAAAAGTCAAAAAAAAAAATGTAAGAAAGAAATATAAAAGGTTATAGGTATAGAAACATCATCCTATTTAATAAGTTAGTCATTTTGGCAAGGATTTGTATTATATATTTTTTTTTTTACTTAAGTATAGGATTATGAAAAACGAAGGTTAAAGCATGTCACAATAAGACTTGTAAAAATTAACGTAAGTGATTTCTTACAGAGCAAGGACTATGTTTTAAGATAATTGGCTGGGTTCCATCACAACACCTCCCAATTCTATAAAACCCAATCCCTACACCCCGCTCCCTGCATCCAGCTTCCGAGTTTTCATACAGTTCTGCATCTCACCCCTACTGGCATTTGAAACCCAGAGAGGAGAGTTACAGTGTGCTGTGCTAAGCGACAGGGCTGCAAGGCAGTTCCTGCCTGGTGACTCCAAGGCCCCAGCTGGCCTGGAGCTGCGGGGAGCGAAAACGCCGGGTTTGAGTTCCCGTGCTCGAACCAGGGACGCCCTGGAGCCGTCCGCCCCCACCCCACAGTGGGGGGCAGAGCCAGGCTGGGGACTCAGCCGCCGCCAGCACCAGCTCCGCGGGGACGCCGCGCTCACCATGGCCAGTCTCGGAGCGTCCTACGACTCTCCAGAGTCTCTCTGGTGCCGGCGCAGGCTCGCCCAACCGACGACTCTGAACGACAGAACCAAAGATGGCGAACTCAGACGACCGGAGAACTCAGACGATCTCGGCGGAACTTTATAAGCCTGCCCTGCTTCCCTCATTTCAGAGTCGACCTGTCACAGGGCCTGAGTGGCAGCCGAGGGCACCAATCCATTACGGAATGCGAGGCTTCCTGGGCTGGGAGGGGCGGAGTTAGTCAAGACTGCCTAAGCAATTGCTAAGCTTATGATTACGTGGAAATACCTCACAGGTAGAAATAATGGCATTGTTGTGGCTGTTATGCCCAGGACGCGGGACCCCTGAACACGACCACCACAGAGCCAAGTACCTTTGTAAACACACAGGGCTTTATTAAGAGCAGCATTCTGAGGCAGCAGGTGGAGAGGAGTGGACCCAAACCAGCATGGGAGTGCACTTTTAACAGGAAAAACCAGGGTCGATTGGCCCTGGGGTTAAGTAAGGTTTGGAAATTTCCCTTAGAGTATCATCTGGTGACCTATTGGTGTAGACTCAGGCATTACGCTGGCCTGCCTCTGTCCAGATTGCATATTCTGCACGCAGGTGCAAAGGACTCCTATAAAAGACAGACCCCTGCCCACTACGTCCTCTCTTTGGTCGTGCCCAAGTCTCTAAGATCCCCAAAGACCACCAGGGAGACAGATTCACCAATGTAAATGCACAAGGTTTATTGATCTATCCTGCCCAGGGAGGGACTACGTCTGGCAAGCTGATGCAGTAGCCTCCAAAGGGAGTGAGTTCCTTGTCTACTACTAGGATTTTTAAAGGAAAAATATGCAGGGTTACATCCATGGAAGGGGAGAGGTACCAGTCAGTTCCTGATGAAAGACCCTCAAGGAGTGTCTTCCCTCGGGAGAGAGCCCGTGCCCAAGGATCAGTTGAGACCACTCGTGCGGATGCAATCAGCAAGAGGCTTTATTCAGATACACAGGTACCTGGGGCGACAAGATCTCCTTGAAGTCTTGCGCGCCGACAGGCTGGGGAAAGGGATTTTTATAGAGACAGGGGAGCAAAAGCGCAGGTACAGAAGCAAGATGCATGGTTACAGGGATGCCATTGGTCAATTCAAATGAAGCCAGGGTTATTCTGAGGACAAGTTCCCTTAGTACATAGTAACCAGGTGAATAGCAACCAGGTGAGTAGCAACCAGATGAATGGCTGACTTGGCTCTATCTAGGGTACACAGGGTGTTTTTCAGGTACTTTCCGTTCTTGGCTGGCACAGATATCCTGTTTGGCAGCCCTAGCTTGCTGACCATGTCCTGAACCCGGGGCTATGTGCACAAAGGTTCCTGCATAATGGTGCTGCAGCAGCTAAGCTAAGCTAATACAATGATTGGCGGGGGTCTTTCACTGATTGGTTGACATTCAGGGGAATTTTTCAAAGTCTCAGTTTGGGATGAAATACTTGTTAATCAGCTGGCCGTGGAAGGGAGCATTCTGTGGCTTTGTCTTGTTACTCGCAGGCGGCCTGTTGTGCATAGATACCAATAGTTTTCAGGAACCAAATATCCTTGAGAGGAAAGGGGAGGGTTTGGTCTCTCCTGCAGTTTCTTTGTGACCATAGTTTCCAGGAACTAAGTATCTAGGAGGCTAAGGGGTCTGGAGTTTTTTGTGTCATTTTTGGTCCTGGGTCTGTTGCAGACAACAGGCCCAGGAGGCTAGCAGGAAATGGTTTGGCCTCTCTCCCACGAGGTTCCCCTGGGGCAGAAGGGCCTTTTCCTGTCTCCCTCTTCTCTTCTGTCCTCTCCATGTCTCTGCATCTCTTTACCTCTTTTCTCTTCCCTTCCTCCTCCCCTCCCTAATAAAACTCACTTAAGCTCTGTCTGCCTGGCTTGTTTGTCCCCCACGCAAGGTCCCCCTCAAGCTTCATCCCAACATTGGTGCATGTGACTCAGAAGGTTTTCCTGGCATTTTGCTCCTGCCAGTGGCAGTCTGAGATGTGCCAGACCCTGTAGCCTTCATCTCGGGCATTTTTCCAGCTAAGGATCTCTGGATTCTTCCATTCACTACGGCCATTTCTGGTTAAGCCACCCCTCATTCTCTACCTCTGCCTGTAGCTCCATGAGTTAAGACTCATATCAAGACCGTGGTCTCTCTCGCCTTTGGTCCAGTGAAAATCCCCGTACTAGGTGTCCACCATCTCTAGGGCGCCAGGCGCCCTGGTCCCTGATTTGTGCTGGAGGGACCACAACATTTGCCTGTGACTCTTCTACATGATCTTCCCCTAGTCTCTGCAACACTGGAAATTGTAGTGTAAGACCTTCAGAATGAGGAGTCTTCCAGGTTCGGTCCATACCCCAAGAACTCAATGCCCAGTCCAGTTGCTGCAAAAACGCAAGAGGCTTTAATGAACAGGAAACGTTTGCGCAAAGGGGCTCCTCCAGCACACAGGCTAGGGAGAAGCCCCCTCCCCTGGGTCCAGGTGTTTCTAAAGGCAACCCCACAAGCTTAGGGAGGGGGTGGGACCCTCTGTCCATTGAGTACATGACCCTTGGAGGCCGGATGGTCTGCTATTAGGATCAACAGACCTTAGGGCCTCAGGGTGTGCTAATTAATTTTCTCTGGGCATACTGGAGTTGCAGCTATCTGGTTGTTTCCTATGGACCCTACTCACCACCTGCTGACGCACAGGAAAGGAGGGGCAGAAAGGAGGGGCAGTGTGAATTCTTGTTATCTCAGGGCCTTGTGAGAGGAAGTTAGCAAATTCCAAGGAACAGATATTGGTTTCCACGTTACTTTTTTTGTCTTTCAGTAGGCTTTGGACCTTCTCACCTCTCATGGAAGCTGAGCGCCTCATATCAAACCCTCTTTTTGGCAGCCTACATCCTACCAACCACCCATAGTTGGAAGTGTGGCCTCTGTCCCTTTTCACTTGTCTGTTTCCCTCTAAAACTCTCCTGCCTGCCACCATGACCAACCCTATCTCAGGGCAGGAACCTCTCTCTGCCTGGGAAGCTAGACATCTTATGCTCCTGTTCAAAATGTCTCTTGATGGAACACTGGCAGCCAAGGACACTCTGTGCTCACCAGTGATGTTCCTCCTCCCTAATTATGCCAGTCGAAATACTTTAGGAAGCTTTGACTTTTTGTTTGTTTGTTTTGTGAGACAGGGTTTCTCTGTATTTCTTTGTAGTCTGCCCTGGAACTCATTCTGTAGACCAGACTGGACTCGAACTCACAGAGATCCACCTGCTTCTGCATCCAGAGTGCTGGGATTCAAGGCATGCATCACAGGAAGCTTTGACTTTAAAATAAAAATCAAAGATACATTATGTTTAGGAAAAAATATACTTTTGCTTCCACAGGGGAAAAAATACATATATATGGGTTTTAGTCACTTGTGGT